CGTCAGTATCCTATCAAGCGAGTTGCTTACCAATCGACCATTCGAGCGGTGATTCCATACTGATGGGCGAGCCTAATAAAGCTTCCCGGTTCTAATTTTTCGCATGCAAATCGTCATTTTCCGGAAGTGCTGTATCTCTGTCCACAGGCCTCCGCAGTAAAATCGGAAAGCGGCATCGTGATCTCCATAGTCGATTACCTGGGGGTAGCCGCGAGGGTTTTGCGAAATTCCACTTCGTCCACGTGCCCTTCCCTTGTTAGGCTTCGCGTTGGCTTATCCTTGGAGCTCTTGAAGCTTCAACCATTAATAACCTTTTTCACAACCCAATTAGCTCCTCCCTACCCTTCCAAAATTCAAGGCCCATTAAACCGCACCTAACGACAGCCACAACTCCTCCGGCAAGTGCCGATTACCCTCTTTTTGCACCACCAGGCCGCCTGGAGTGCCTGGTTTTTTGCGGCTTTTCCCTGCCTGTGGATAGCCCCGGATCGAGGATCGAAGCCGGCTGAAAACTGCCCTCGACTCCGAGGCCAGAGGTGAAAAGCGGAAAGGACGAGGAGGGGGAGGAGGAAAAGCCTGACAGGCACGAGCCACTCGAAGGGGCTGTGGATTCGGTGGCTATCGATTTGCCAGTGACTGGCGGATCGGTCAGGGCTTGATTTTTGCTCTTTAGTGATTATTAAAGGGACGGGCAGGGCATACCTGTTATGGAATAAATTAGCTATAGGTATCTAGCTATAAATTATTGTATACTTGCTTACCTGATCTTTAAGCAAAAAACCAAAGAGGTATATTGAAAAGCAGAGTCATAATCCCGACAACCAAAATACCGACAGCCCAAAATGCCAAGATTTTTGGCCGTCGGTATTTTTGCTTATCGGTATTTTTGCCGTTGGGGCCTTGCGTCGGTATTTTGGGCTGTCGGCATTTTGCTGTCGGGATTTTTACTGTCGGGATTTTGGCAACTGGTTGTTTTAACTGTCGGGATTTATTGTCGGTCGTGTTTCTAGCCTGTCGGGATAATGGCCGTCGGATTTTTACGTTTCCCGTTTTTTAGATCCTTTAGTTTTCATGCGTTATTGAAATCACGTTAAAACATTAAGACCTTTTTAACCTGCACTTTCCTCTACCTTCTCTTAAGCTCAGAAATACCGAATTCTCATTTTCCCAAAGTTCCAAACCCTAAGATTCCATTACGCTTAATCGAATCCCACAGCCAGGGTGCGTAACTTCCTCCCCACTGGCCTATCCTTAGCTCCTGGTGGTGTTGGGTCCCGGGGGGATCCCCCATCTTTAGGACACAATTCGCACCCCCCACACAGACGTCCATTATGATGCTAAAGGGATGGGGCGAGACGCTAGATTCGGATCGGGAGACGGATCCGATGACAAGTCGCTGAATAGGGTGCACGAAGGCCCCAAATGAGGCCCAACTAGGCTGTGGCTAAGGACCCAAACTGGGGCCAAATCTTGGTATCCCGACCTTCCGATTTCTTGGAAGGGCGCTGACTTTAGACGTTCGGGGGTTTTAAAGGGAGCGTGACAGGGCAGTCACAATCTCCGGGAAATTCCGTAGTCGTATTTTCTTTGTTTAACCGACATTTTCTTCCGGCACCGTACCTTTAAAAGGAACTTAACAATTTTAGGCAGATTTTTGAGTTATACTTCAGTATGTATATTTAAAAAGCTCGCAAAGTCAAAAACTCCGAACATTGGAATTTTTTAACGCAGTATAAGCTTCTAAATTTGCACTTTTAGTTTAAAAATTGTTCTTTGAGCGCTCACAATTTTCAAAGGTTACGATATCCAAATACCTATAAAATCCATGATTTCTTGGCTTCGCTAGAATCATGGAGTTGTTACAGTTTTTGGTCAAACTGTATGCAGTGATCCTTAAAAATCCACGAGCTGTTTACTTGCCAATCCCTTTAAAATTGTGATTATGCTAATTATCATATTACTTTTCGAATAATCCCCATGATTTGCCTCTGGGCCCCTGTTGTACCTACCGTTTGGCCCACCCCTTCCTTCTCCTTTCCGTTCCATTCCTTTCGACACTCATTGTCCAGCCGTCGCCACCACCACACTACTATTTACATACATGTCAATATTAGGGGTGGCTCGGGCCAAAACAATCCCCGTCGCAATACTATCCCCCTGGTCTAGGAGGAGACTCCCGCACTATTAGGGACTTTACTATCTCCTGAGCTCCTGAGTTTCGTAATTTTTGACTTAATTTTGACATCTTTACGTTTCCGGTTCCTTTTATAGGCTTTATGACCAGTTCCGAATTCAATTTTGCTGAATAGCCACGATTTCCTGCTTTGAAAGCACGGCTTTTGAACGCTGGAAATCGAAAACGGACGACTGTTGATTCTTGAAAGGTCTCTGTTCCTCTTTCAGCTTTTCTGGTTCGCCTTGAATTTTGTCTACATCGAGACATGGTTTTGACTGCTTCTCTTCCTGGAGAATGGACTTTCCCCGCTCGGTTTTTGCACGTTTTATTTACTTTTTCCGCTTTATCCCTTAAAAATTTTGCTAAATATTTTATTATTATTTATTACTTAAAACAAGCATCATTGAACTATTCGAAACTTATTTTGATTGCCTTAAAGGCGCGTTCAAGTCACCGGAAAAAGGGCTTGGTTTGAAAAAAATCTAGAATAAGATTGCACCTCATTTGGAGCAAAAATCCGCGCATTTTTGACCACTTCGTGGCTCGCTTCCTTTAAGAACGTCGATTTAACCAAATTCTGAATTATTCGGGATTGTACCGTCCATAGAGTTCCAAATTATCAGATTCCATAGGCATTGGTGCTAATCTCTCTATCCAAACCCTAAAATTTCCACACTTTCACACCCCACACTGATTGGCACATTGTGTGTGCATTTGCATGAAGTGTCGGTCAGCAGAAGCGGCGGCCCTTAGAGACGGAAGCCGAGATTTCCGGGGCTGTCGAGGCCCTTCTGGACGCCTATGGCCCCAGTCGAGGTATGCGTCCCATAATGGCCCCCGGGCTTTTCCTCCCCTGAAAGCGTCCGGGCAGCCCAAACTTCATATGCATATTACGAGACTCGGAGGCTGCTGGTGAAACCCCTTCGGCCAAAAGCTGGGCGACATGCCCATTGCTTTTTATGGGGAAGAGTGCCGCTGCAGGGGTTACTACTTGCATACTCGCACCCCCGGGGTATAGGGAACTTTGGTCGGTAGTGATTTTGCGATCCGGTTTACCTGGCAGGTTTTAGAACAGCGCATGGCCTTATATTTTCACAAAATCACCATTTTTCGACTTTTTTAAACGGTGTTTTTCGGCTTTTTTAATTGGTTGATGTTGATTGAATTGTGTTTCCGAAACTTGACATTTTCATTCCACATTTTGTAATATTTGTCATATTGAGTAGTAGGGACTCAAAGATTAAATTTTTTTAATTGAATTTTGCCGCCGTATTTTACAGATTTGGTACGTAATTGGATTCTAATTTTTTGGCTCATTTTTCAAACATTCAAAAAAGTTTCTGGATTTTTCATAGGCCTTATCTGATCAAACATGATCAAATTTGACCACGGCATCTTTTACAATTTTTAGAGTTTTTAAATCTCGGCGAATAAATCTGAATTATAATAGTTTTTAAATAACTTTACGTATTTTTGTAGGTTTTTTCAATTTTTAATTCTTTTTAGACCCCATCTATACCCCCTGATTTCGTCCGAATCCAAAATGCGCTCAACCCCCTATTCAATACAGCCCCATTTGACCAGGCATGACACATGCAATTTGTTCACCAGCCGGCCCCGCAGGCCCGCGAATCCTCCCGTATTATCCACCTTTTTGAATGGGTGTTCCGGGGAGGATTTCGGCCGGTTATTTATGGCTTGGAAATCGAATTGGAATCAATTTGAACGGAAGTAATTTTACGTCGGTTTTGTAGCTTTGAAATGTCAGAATTAATCAAAATAATTCTATGCCATGTTTTTGCGCTTTCCTTTTGCCGTTTTGGGCTGTCCTGGTCCCGGTAAGAATCGACCAGCTTACATCTTGTTTTTCTAGATAATCGACTCCGAATTTTGCGTGAGGAATCGCACTTAAAACGTAAAAATTCCATATTTTTGATTTTTACGCCCTAATTTGAATTCCCAGTGGGATCAAAAAACAGCAAAACCCTCAGCCCCTCCTCGAACACCCTGTTTTTACCGATTTCCATCTCCACGCCAAAATCGCCCTCCTTTCACCCCATTTTCCCCCTCAAATCCCCGGCCTTCGAGGATGGATTGAAATTCGCAAAACCGAAATTTTCCCCTCGATCCTTTCTCCGTCCGCCCTGCTGTCCAAACGTTCGCTAATAGCCCGGTGGAATCGTTGGGGGTATGGATTAATGGTTGTCGTCTGCTACTTGGCTGTTACTTTGCAACCAGTTAATGACAAGTATAAATATTTGATTTCGACCACGGTAAGCCTCGATTTTTGTGTGTTTTTCCTGGGTATCTTATCAGCAAACTGCAACCTGTACGCAGGTATTCAGGGGAGCAAAAGCTGATGCGCAAATATTGCATTAGCACCTGAGTACGATACGCTACTAGCTACAGCTTACTATCGATATTTTTTATCCATTTTTTTAAATTTTAATTGATGTTCGTCGTTTAATAATTTGATACATCGTGACTAGAGTTTTGACTACAACCATGTAAATTTCACTACAGCCTTCATCTAATTTTTTGACACGTCTTAAGATATATTTTGGCTTTTGGGCATTTATTTTCACTTGGTAGTTTGCTACAGTAGTTTATTAATCAGAACTAGAAAATTTGAAAAACTGTTTGCATTTATTTCAGCTGATCCTTACGGTAAATATTTTCTTTTCGAAGTTTTCGATTTTTTTGCTGCAACTTGCTGCCTACGATGATTTTTCCTTGAATTTCTTTCCTCATTCTATTTTTTCATTGCGTCTACTTGACGACTAGTACCTCTTCTTTTTAGTCCAAAAAGCTAATCGCGTGCTAAATGTCGCTCTCGGCGACGGCCACCCGTCCGACAGTCGTTCGTCTCCCATCAAACGATCATGATGACGTCCAAGGATGTTGCCTGGCCAAGATCGTCCTCTCCAATCTGCTCACCTTCGCGTGAGTTTCATTTGGGTATCGGGGATACCTTCTTAGACGATCCTGCTTAGAATTTCAACGGTGAAAAACGAAGTATACTTTATTATCGTCAAACAGTTTAATTATGTTATTTAAGGGTTCTAATAACAAAACATACTTTGAAAAACGTTGCTCATTTAGCCGAAACGATCATTTGAACGATCACTATAAATTCCAGAAGATGATTCAAAAGGCTAAACAACCTCAAAAATCGGCAGAGTCTTTTGCAAATTAGGGTCAACTTAAGTTCCAAAAATACCTTCTGTCCGGCCCCCTTTAAAACGTGAATTCCTTAATTTGTTTTCAAGTCTAAAATCGGTAGCCTCATATTTTTTTATCCACAGATTGTTATTCCATCATACTGCCCTTTGCGCCCTCCCCCGCCCCAAAATTCCAAAATTCCCATGGACACCCAAATTCCGACGCACTGGCGGGGAGGGCCACCCTCCAAAAATAGCCTCAAATTTCACCCGAAGCAAACATGGCAGAGGGCCACGAGTTATCGTATATTCACATATTGACTTGTTTGGTATAATTTTCGCTCTCACACTCTCTCTCCCTCTTGCTCTCACGCTCTCTCTCTCTCTCTCTCTCTCTCTCCCTCTCTCTCTCTCTCTCCTCACCTGACACCCAGCTGTTCCGGATTTTCATAATTTTCCGAACTGAGCACGAGGTCCCACTCTGTTTCCCTTCATATTGTCGACACCTAGCGATAGACCCACTCCATTTATGAGAATTTTGTGAGCAGCGCCTGTGTGCCCCCGGAAAATTGAATATGGAAAATGGTTGGAGGGCGGAGGGATGGCTTTGATGCCTCGTCGTGACGTGGCCATCAGCATTCACAACCCACACACGCCGGGCATTGCGATTGAGTAGTGTAGTGATACTGTCGATACCTCCTGAAATTCCGTGATATTCCGAGTTACGTTGGATGAGCCCGAGAAGTATTGTGGAATGCATTCGACGGCTGGTGTGGAGGTTGGCGCGTTAAAAGAAAAAGACTTAGTTTTTTGCATAAAAAAAGAATAACGAGTTGATAGTTTTGTCTCGGAAAGTAGAGTCGCGTTTTCACAGGAGCTTGGAAGCCCAAGTTTGAGCTAAAAACGGACTAATGCAATAACTCCACCCGTTGAACTGCTTGAATTTGACGAAAAATCGGTTTAGCCGTGCTTTTTTGGGTGTTGCACCACCTGAACTGCTTGAGCTCGTGGGAAAATTTGTTTTGAACATCCAAAAATCCGGAAAAGTTGCTAGAAAAGGAGTAGTAAGAAAAATAAACGCAAAATTAGCGTAGCGATCCATGGGTGCCTTTCCATAAGATAGCGTTTCGTCTTAACTCCTTGAATCGGTGCACGTCGCTGTTTAAAGGGATAGCGACGCCCAGAAAAAAGTGCGTTAATAGCTGTAGTTTCCAAAAATGATAGTTAACTGCCTTACGAGTTCCTTTAAAATAAAGATATGTCGGCTGCAACACTCCTTTTTCCCGGAAATTTGCTCTAGTACCTGTGTGGGTGTAGGTTAGCTGGTTGCGTCGTTGAGTGTTGATAGTATCACTTCGTCTCGACCCAGTCAGCAACTTGTTGACTCTTTCTGACTATGCCCAACCCTTGAAAATGCTCTTCTTCCCCCTGTATAGATTTCCTTCGCCAGGGTTGTAGAGGGATGGGTTGGGTGAGGGGGCTATCGGTGGTCGTGTTGCGCAAATAGTCGTCGAATGGAAACCCAGGAGGAGGAGACCCTTCCTCTCCCTTCCTTTCCACCTTCCACCTAACACACAAAAACCTCGCGAACCCGAATCGACTGGTCGTTGGTTGGCTGTGTCGTTGGGCTCACCCCGCAGCCTCCAGAAGGCAAATATGAACCCGTGTCAGATTGCCGGCTTCCCGATTTGGTAGGGTTTCTGGCTCGGGCTCTGAGCATCACCACCTGCTCGCTCTCTTCCTTATTTCCTAGCTCCCTTTGCTATCTTTTTTCGCCCGTTTTCTTTAGGTTTCGAATTAACCTCGTCTACCTGATTTTATTCCACCGGAAGCTGCCGGATATTTGAGCATTAAGGCAGCGTTGTCCTGGTGTCTTTTTGTGCTCGATATGGGTATCAAATTTTTTCGTGATTGCCTGGGATTTGAATTAAAGGTACGGGGAAGGCTAAAATCCTATAACTTTAATTTATAAACCGTTAATTTCTTCAGGCACAGATTTACAATTAAATTTTTTACATTTCTAAGCTTTTGGCTGTAAATTTTATGCATTGAAAGTACGCTTTCGGATTTTCAAATTTAGGCATTTACTTACCGTAAGGCATTTTACCCACCTATTTTACGTTACAAAAAGGGAAGGGCTCGGCAACATAAACGAAAAAACCCCGCTGACGAAATAATACTTACGCGCCTCCCTTTATTATAATAATCCTCTTTTTGTTTCTTCATTTCTCAAGGCTCCACACCTTCTTATTTCAAAAAAAACCCCCCACACAGTTTCGCCTCCCCATTCATTAAAAAAAACAAAAAATTTTTAAAAAAAATTTTTACTTAACTCAGAAAATTGTACATTTTTTCAGTTTCTTTGAAACGATACCTAGGCATTCGAAAGTGTGTTCTGATGACCCAAGCTCTCCCTCACGCTTCTCCTCAAACCGACCAGAAACACACCATTGAATTCCCTGTATCTGAGAGATTTAATAATACCCCCATTCAGCTGTCAAAAGCTACAGAAATCCCCCTGGCGGAAGAGGGTCAAACAGGTTGCCGCCTTGTGAACCACCACAGACAGAGAGAGCTTTATTGCCTTATTGCCCCTATCCACATAGCCTGAGGGCACAAGGGGAGGGCTGTAATCGTATGTGCATGGAGGTTATCGTGCAATTCCCGCCTTTCCGAATACCATTCTGCGGCTGAGGTTTGGTTCTCTCACTCTCTCTCTCTCTCTCTCCCTCTCTCTCTCTCTCTCTTTCTCTTTCTCCCTGGTCAGCCGGCTGCCTTGTCTTCCAAATCGTGGGCTGTAAATCCCAGCCCCAGATCGGCCGGCACACCTGCGGGCTTTGTTTGGCCATGCCGGCCCGGAATTCGGGGGCCAAGGCTTGGGCGTGGCCCCACACACCTGGATTGGACCGCGATTTGTCAAGAGGAAAAATCGGTTTCGGTTTTGGAATTACTGTCACAGACAGTTTACTATAAGCGCAAATCTCGAGATTTAAATACCGTAATCGTTTTTGTATTACGACTACAGTAAGCTCCGGAATTCCGGAGCGCTTCGGAATTTATAGTATTAAGAAACCGGTTCTTTGAAGGCTAATTTTTGCTCCAATTTGCTTTTTAGATCCCTTTTTTAGCTAAATCTGATGTTACATGGTTGATTTTTCTGGTTCTATGCAAATTCTCGGACTTACCGTAACCCGAACCTGAACGACTTAGAACTTTTGACGCTCGATTTCAGCAATTTTGGTGTTTTTAAGGAATAAATACTGTTTTGATCCCGAAGAATGAATCGGCTGGTTTCTCACCTCTGGAAAAAAACCATTCACACAATTTCCTGGCCAACATTTCTCGCATTCCACTGGCCGTGCCCTCGCCCAGGTGGTAATTATTGTGGTCCGGCGCAATTATTGTAGGGATTTATTTCTTCTTTATCTCTTTTTCTCTCTCTCTCTCTCTCTCTCTCTCTTTGTCTCTCTCACCCTAAAAACTTCTGCTGGCTCCCATTTTTCTTCTAATTCCCTCGGCGGGTCAGTTCGTCACTTTTACGGCTTGATTCCCGTGGGTGATTCACCCACCAGCCTGTCATTTTTTGCGTAAGGAGGGGTGTTACGTAGCCGGGGAGCCGGACGAAGCGGTATCTGTCGAAGTTTGTGAAAAAAGCCTGTAGACCCGGAGTGAATCATCCCAAATGACCTTGCCAGGTTTTTCTGACAATTTTTAGGGAAGTTTTTGATGTTCTTGAGATCTAAATGTTTGCCTGCTTTTTTAATCCCACTTGAAATTCTGAAATACGGCCCCTAGTGCCTGGCAACCAAATAAAAAGTCCGGAAATGTCCAAAAAGTTCGAATTTTTGCTGCAGGCTTAAAATTAAGCTTTCAGCCATTTTCGATTTTGAATTTGGACGTACTTTTGAGGCTAGGCATTTGTGGCTGCCCCTTTAAACCTTACGATCCCATACCAAATACATCCTGGTTTTCCAATCAAACCCCTCAAGGGCATTCCGATGCCTAGATCGGCTGGCGGACTTCGATTATGCAAATCGGCGATCAGGGCTTTTTGCACCGCTGTGGCGGCAGCTTTGAAGTTCTTGAAAGGGCACTGCACGAGTAGAGGAACGAGTCTCCGGTCAGCCATTCTCAGCCTTACTTTTTTCTTGTCTTATTCTTTCTCTTTTCCATTCCAAGTTCTCCTAGTCGTTGTGGGAATCTTGGTTTTTTGGTGATTCCTGGACTGCTCGGCGAGTTGGTTGCGGCTCGCGCGTTTCGGACCGGGATTTAGCCATCGATTTTGCATCTAAAAAACATGCACATGGTTGTATTTCGTACTCACAAATCTCTATTGATCTCGAAACGCTTGGCCAAGATCAAATTTTGGTAGCCTGCGTCATAAAGCCGATAACTCCTAACTTTCGATGCTTCTCGACGGCTATAACCGATTTTCAACCCCCATTCCACCCCTAAAAATCAATTTTATCCCCCCCCCTCCTAAAAATCGTCGAACCACCGGCCGGCCGTCAAGTGGCTATAAGTCCAGCGGAATGACCCCTTAACACACTGCCGCCACAGCCCAGCCAAGCACCCGCCCAAAAGTTATGGTCAGCATGTGAATTCGTGTTGGAACGCGGGGTGAACATCGCAAATATTAAGAAAATCACGATTTTTGCTTGGTTTGGCTTTAGATCATTTTTTAGCGAGCCCTCGTTATCAGAATACCCCACAAACAAGCCATATGACTCTCCAGAGAAAAATGGAGCCACGATAAAGTTTGATAAAGCCATATAGGACCTAAATTTCTGTGCCAAAAAATTGTTATTATCTCGAATGGGTGATTTTTTGCTTCACAAAATTCCCGGTTTACGTTTTTACGTTTTTATTCTCACAATCTCGGCTGTTTAGATTTCAATTAAAGTTTAGGTAGATTTAAATCGTTTTAAAAATTAGGCAAAAACGAAGGTTTCAATTTTCAGGTCAGAATTCCCAGTGTACGTTGCTAAATCTATTTTTTTAATTTGAAGCGGATCCCCTACGTGGAATTCCC